ATGAACGGAAGTGGCGGGGGCTGTGATGGTGGAGGGCGTTGGCGGAGAGAGGGTTGAAGGGGCGGAGGGGGCGTGGGAACGTGAAGGGTTTCGGAATGAGGGCTTTTGAGGAGTGCCGAAAAATAGAGGTGGTAGGAATGCATTTTATGGAGATCCATGGATATTCATTCATCCTGCTAACGTTCTTGTTGCTGCGCTTTTCACTGTATCTGTCTGCATTCTTTTCATTTTGCCCATTTTTTGTCAAGTGCCATTTTTGGTTAAATTTCGGGAAATCTCGCTATTAAATAGTGAGGCATTTCAATCGAAGCTGGACATTGTGATATCTTTGCTTGATAAATCGAAAATTGAAAAAAAAAAATTAGATACTTATGATTCTTAAGGTGTTTTGGTTGAAAAGTCAAAATGATGAAACAAAATTGGAAAATTCACGGGAGAAAATTCTGAGTATGCTGCATCATTGCGAATTTTTGCACATTTTTTCAGATGTCAGTCTCGACAAAAAAAATAATGAAATTTGGAGGTTTCTGTAACCCCTCCAGCTATAACCTTAGAGGTTACCCGACTCTCAATTAGGGAAATTTCCATGGCACCCAAAAAAATAATGAACTATTGAAGACAAACTAGTGGGTGATACATTAAATCCTGCTTGAGAACACGTATGAGTTTCAGATTTTATTCAGATTTCATAAGAAAGTTATTTGAACAAATGATGCGGAAAATTATGAGTTTCGGGGCAATTACGCGCTCACGCGCAGGCGCGTGATTGGAATGTCAGTGAGCACCATGGGAAAGGTTATGGGTGGGACCATGGAACTGAGAGAGCGAAAACACTCGACAGGTTTACCAACTCGAGACGCGTTCTAATATTATTTCAATAATTAGAAAAACATCCACACGGAGAGAAATATTCAGTAAAAATTACGGAACTCACAATTCACTCACCAATTACGGAATCGACTCAGAAAATTTAAGTGAGGGCATCGTAATTTTTCACAGGAGATTCGCATGAAAATTACGGAACGCTCTGGAAAAATTTCGTGACAGTTCCGTAAAATTTCCTACAACCAAATTTCGCTCCGGAATTACGGCAAAGATACGTAATTTTTATTGAATATTTCTCTCCGTGCAATAAAAATGATTTGACACCCGTAGGTGATGAGAAAAAAAATCAATCAATCTGATAAATAACATCAATATTCAAAAAATGTTCAAATGCACACTTAAATAGTACTTGAAAATTGTAAAATTTCGTGCTCAGCGATTGAATAATCAGGGCTTAAGAACAATAAGACTCCCCTTCCGTTTCACCCCCTTTTAATTTACAGACAAAACACCTTAAGATCCTTCCAGAATATACAGGTCCATTTTATGTTGAATAAACCCTGTACTCATCTAGTTTTATTTCAACAAATGAGAGTTGGCTAAAGGCGTTGGCACATCCGACGGATATTTGACGTTGGCTGAATGGAATTCAATGGAACTCAACGTCACTCTTGAGAACATTTTTTTTCAACAGCTTTTTGCACTTGATTGTACTAGATATTATTCCTTCAGGCTCATTTTATATGTTTTTCCCCCTTTTTTGAAGCGTTTCACAGGCGTATGGACGCGTATGCTGCACAAAATGTCTATACCCGTCTGTCTACGTTTCATGATAATTAACGGACGAGTGATTTTAAACCCGCGGAATTTCGCCATTCGTCCATTTCATTGACAATATTCACAGTGTGAGGGGTTCATGTGCACGTCAACCGGATTTTCAACTGAATTTTGGGTATTAAAATCGGAGTTGCAGGTGGACTTTACTGACAGAAGTAAATGAAAAATTATGCCGCTGTCGATGACTCGTGGACATTGGAAATAAATAGAAATCACTAATTGAAATTGTTCTGATTGATTGACACAGCAAACATAATAAATTACAATTTTTAATTGATTCGAACTCATGTACTCGGAGCAATTAATTGCACAAAAAAATACTGAATAACTGGTAAAATTGTGTGTTTCCTTTTATGGACATGATATTGAAAGCCAGCGGGCAAATATTCTGGTAAAAATCCAAACTCGAATTTGCATTTGCAGACCGAGTTTATTGATGGAAGTGAGTGGCAATATATGCTGCTATCAATGGCTTATTTTCTTTATTTTCTTCTATGAAAAAATGATATTTGACGGCAATAAATAATTGGCGGATGGATGGATGAGTAAATTTTTGGTATAATTAAAATTCTCCTGATTGATCGACAAATAGAAAACAACAAATTACCATTTTCCATTAATTTTAACTCTCGTACTCGAAGCAATTAATTGCACGGAAAAATATCGAATGACCGGAGCAAAGCGTATTTTTTCGGACATGATATTGAAAGTCAGTGGGCAAATATACCTAGTAGAAATCCACACTCGAATTAGTATTTGCAGACTGAGTTTATTGACCTAAGTGAATTAAAAAATATGCTGTTGTGGCACGGAGAGACAAGTTGAGTAAAAGTTATTTAGAAAATTGTAGCAAATGGAAAAACGTAACATGATGAGCGAAAATGATCAAAGTAAAACAGTAAACTGCATTTTCCAAAATTCAAACTCCCACACCCGGAATAACCAATTACAGCCAGAAATAGGGTAGCTGGTGCCTGTACCGCCCAGCGGGTAATACCGCCCACCCGTATTTTTCAGGATCGGCTGAAAAAAAATTCTTTCTTGTTTTATTATGCAAATATTTGATAACAACAAGCAATTTCAACAGAAATTCAGTACCGAAGCGGTAAACCGGGTTAAGTCGATTTTGACTATTGGCCAGTTTTTGAAGAATATCTCTGAATCTAAAAGAGATAGAAAAATTTTTGTTAAGTCCTTTTTTGTAGAGCTAGTTGAGGGTTATAAAAAAGGTCATGAGGAAAATTTTGCTATCTCTCTTAGATTCCGAGATATTAATCAAAAACTGGCCAAAAGTCAAAATCGACTTGACCCGGTTTACCGGTTCGCTCCTAAATTTTCACTTTTCTCCCGTGGAAACATCCTTAAAAAAACTCCAAATCATTTCCTACCGAATTCTTAAAATATTTCGACCCCAGAATTTAAGATTTTTCAAATTTTCAGTTGGTTCATAATTGAATGGAGTACGAAATATATGTTCGTTATACATTTCCACATCCATTGCGACCTTTTCGATAGCAGACAAATATCTTCATCAGTTAATATTGGCTATTCTATCAACCGCCGCGTTTGTGGTTAATTCCGCCCAGAGTTTGTGGGTAATGCCGCCCAGGGTTTCTACAGGGCTGCTAGACTCTGCAGCCATAGACCGGTCGAGTGACAGCTCGATTGTTTGAGGTAGTCGCTGGCCGCTGGAACATTGGGTAAATTCTGGATAATTTATTATTATTCACGTGAAATCTTTCTCAAAATGGAGCCAAAGAATAGAAACGAAGGATGAAAATAGGAAAAATTATAACAGTTGTTCTCACTCGCTCACTGGCCAATGGCAATTGAATTACATAATTAAATGTTTAATGTTAATAAAAAATCTGTCCTGTTCACATCTTCGAGTAACCACCTCGAAGAACCCATTCTAACCATTTATGACTCCTTGTCGAGTGCGAGGCTAGAAAAAAGACTCATTTCCCTCAGGTGTGCGGTGCATGCATCAGCTACCCTACTGCATTACCAGAGGAGTTCTGATTTATTTTCCTTTTTTGGGGAAAATGATATCCAAAGGTAGTGGGCAATTAGCAGACAGACGAGTGAGGGAACGGGAGAAGAATATCTTGGACGTGGGCTATGATGAAAATTGCAAGCAGTACGAGACCACTCACCTCGCCTTCGGTGTCTGGCTGGAAGCTTCATAATTACATACCACGGTGAGCAATTAAATTAATACTTTCGCACACCACCACCCCCTCCCCGCCGACTTCTTCTCTGTGGGCTGCGCTTTTTTCCCCCTTTTTCCCGTCGTTTTTACAGCCCAAGAGAGAAGGGTTTCATTTAATTTTTCGCCCGAGCATTCGTCGAGGGAAGAAGAAGGGACGGGAGTTATTATACTCCACTGGGGGACTTGGTTTCCTGAGAAATGAAAATCCACAACTCTTATTTCATCTTTGCCGTTTTTTTCATAATCATTACATTTATTTAAACAGTAGGGTCACGTCAAGAGATATTTTTTTTTCATATTATCAGTTATCGTCCTCGCATCGTCAACCAGTCACACCTCGCCAATTAACCTCGTACCACTTTTATTCATTTTTTTTTGTTATTTTTCCGATTTTTTTTCCTACAACATGATACACATTTTTTTATCGGTATGAACGTTTATGTACAATGCAGCTCCTAATAATTATTCTCTCTCTCTATAAAACTCGGCACGGGTGAGAATCTCCCGTGACGTCATTCAACTTGTCGCTCAAGCCTCCACACCTTTTTCCCCACGATCTCTCAAACTCCTCGTTTACTCCCTCGTCTCATCTGTATTTTTCCGATTATTCTCCTTGATCTCATGGCGTGAAGTGTCCCATTAGAGGTCTTTTGATTGATCGAAAAGCGTCAAGTGATATCCTCTTGACGAGATAAAAGATTAAGACGAGGGATTTTTCGTTATTGAATTGAGAAACACTAAAAGCTGTTACTCGATCTCCATCGAATTGAGGAATAATCTCCGAGTAAAAAATACATTGTCATGGAGAAATAAAAAATGGATATCATTTTTATGTGAAGTATCGAATGTAATAAAAAATTATGGGGAGGTTAATTACATTTCATTTGAGTGATTGAATATTTATGGGGGATCGTTATTGCTCGAACAATATTTTCAGCAAAAAAATAAAATTATGAAAGCTTCTTTCCATTTTTTTCCTCTCACTGCTGATTCACTCCCTTTTTTTTACGTTATTTTGAACAATCCATTGCCTTCGTGACATTATATTTTACAACTCTTCATTTTTTCATGATTTACATTTGTCGTATAAACTATATGGAATGAAATAATACTATAAATTATTCTCTTTATCATAGTGTTAGAATCGCCGCTCTTTGTTTTTTTTTTATAATCTCTCATCTCGTTAAATATATTTTTTTTATCGGAAACAAAGCGTTTTCTTTTCCTTTTAAAACGTCGAGAATTCAACAGTCTTTGAATGTCAGCTTGTCGAGGTGCATATTCTCATTATTTTCATCGTTAATGATTCTCTCTTTTATTTTTTTTATAAAAAATCTATACATCCTAAATTAACCTTGTAATTGTGTCGTTATTTTTTTCTCGAGTATTCAATTAATCGTTACGATATTCGCATTTATCCTCCTGTATTTCGCCTAGTATATTTAAATTTCTCTATTTAATTTAATGGTGATTTATGAGCTATCAATGTAGCATTACCATATTCAGCTATTGAATATTCAATTAGAATTTGAATTAATTCATAATTTTTTTTATTGAATTTTCCCTATGTCTCTGTCAATTTTTTAATTAAAATAATTCCAAAGGAAATGCTTGATTTTAACGAGGGAATTAACGATTCCTCATTCTCTTGTAAAGTCTGCTGAATCAATTTTTTTCGTGTGGCATAATTCGTAACATCACCTCAATACACAACGAATAAATATTCATTTAATTTATTTATATTCATATATTTAGGTTTAATATACGTACTCTCTATCCCCGTTCGCTCGTTTCGATAATCATTTGGATGTTGTCAATGCCACGTGAAAAATTATTATTGCAGAAAATATCGTCAAATCGTTTTGATTGTTCGCTTTGGAAATCTCCTCAAACCGAGCAGCGATTTTAATTCAAATTCTGTTTTTTTGGCAATTAAATTCGTCTTAATTTGAATGGACATCAAATTAAAAAGTGAAATCTAATTTTTGTCAGACAGGAAAAAGTTCAAAATGTGATCTCTTGAGGATGAATTCTGTTGCAAGGACTCCCCCACAAAAATGAAAAAAACACTGTCAGTATTATTCTCGACACAAATGAAATGGAAGTAAAAATAAAAAAATGATGCAAGAAAGGGGGTGATAATGAAGATGTGGATAACCTCCACGCCCCGTAGATAACTTTTTATTATCTCACAGCAATACTTTTATTCCCTTGTGCTTTTTCTCCTCGTTATACTGGCTCAAATGTATTGTTTTAGTTCTCCAGTTCTCTTTATCCGATCATCTTTCACATTAAACAGAAAAAAGTTGTGAGTTTCAGTTTGTGGTATTTAAAATTCCCTCTCTACCTCCATAATTGTGATTTTTAATTTTGAAATAATTCCAGGGATTAGTTGATGATTTCAGTGAACCCTGAATAATGTGAAATACGCGGAATGCTGGCAGTTGATTTTCCTCACTATAATGGGGTTGATGCACCCATCTCATTAATTATTCATCTGTCCATTTAAATACAATGTACTGTACAGTAATAACCGGAAATGGCAGAATTAAATTTAATTAAATCTACTGATAATTTACTGATTTACAGAGTTTAAACCTACGTCCCATGTCACTTGTGCACTCTCATTCACTCAAGTATCAAGAACATGATTAATTGAATATTAATTTATAGCCCACAGTCACTTGATCATCATGTTCCTCCGGTCATATAAACATTGTTCTTGAAAATATATGTAACGAGCACACATGCGCACGCAGCAAAAAATCGTCACTCACACTTTAATCAAGGAACGTATGTATTTCCTCTTGAGATTGCCTCGATGATCGACTTCATTAGCGTCTGCATTATCCTGACTCGTGGCTTTGTCGTAAGTGTGGATTGTTGCTTCAGGAATTTTTTAGGCCTCTAGATGTTGTAAGTGTTCGCTCATCTCAGCAGATTGGCTACCAGGAGGGTCAGGGTTGCGAGAATTGTGGGGGCTACCCCACAGCTGCCGCCGTGCTGCATTGCTGCTGGATGCTCTCCTGGAACAATGGAAATGGGCATTCATGTTAATAAATGTGGGGCATTGACTTTACTGGTGAAAAAATTTGGGTCAATTTTTCGGTAAATGGCATTGAATTCGATTTAAGGGGAAGAAGTCAACACGGAAAAAAATATTTTAATTGAGTATATTTTATAGCATAATCAAGTACACGCATAAACCTGATTCAAGAATAAAATATACGTGATTCAAGTATTTTTTATATCCATTTCAAGTATTTTTTGTTTCCGTGAATAGAATTTCAAGCTTTTCCCATTTTTGTGGCAGGAAGACGGAAATTCTACAATTTACATGAATTTTCAAGTGAAAATGAATATTCACTGCTGCATTCCCTTGAATTTTCATGGAATTTCTTTAAAATTCTTCGAATTCCAGGAGTATTTGAAGGAACTCCCTGACAATTCAGAGGAGTGGGGTTTTTAAGGGGAGATTTCTCGGAGTTTTCCTGTATTTTCATTAATTTTTACAGAATAATTAATCTAAAATTTGTAATTTCCACCGATTTTTCCATAAAATTATGAATTTTCAAAGACAAAATTACTTGAAATTTGGATATTTAGAAAAAAATATCTTCATTTTATTCATCTTCACTCTCGGTAACTAATTTGAATGGCAATATTTCTCCATTTTCATACCGTGGAACCTGATGATCTTAATAATGAAAATAGTGATAAATAAAATCACACAAAATAGAATGATGTAGAATTCAATCCTAAATCGATTCATGATACAATCCTTTGAACTATAAGGAAATGTAAAACCAATATGAATGATGAATGAATATTAGCCATCTGTGATGATGTTTTAGTGTAATTTCAGACTCCTACATTTTACGCGCGCGCCATTTCCCTAGTTCTAATAATAATAATAGTCATAATAATTCGTTTAATGTATTTGTCTTTTCATTTTTTTAAATTAATTAATTTTCTTCATTGAATGTTCCCTACGTCTCTCCCAATTTTTTAATTCAAATAATTTCAAATAGACTTTTTACGGAGGAAATTAGGTGATCCCGGGTTTGAATCACATTCGTCAGAAAATACTGTGTGGTCCGACTGATGAAATCTACTATTGCAGATCATTTCCCCAAAAATTGAACTATCGGAATCCCAGCGAGTTCGTTCATCACCTAAGATGACGCCTCGTTAGCAACTCGCGACAGTCCCGAGATTGACGGGTATGCACCTGCGCCTCGTTAACGATAGCCCACCCCCTCGCACCTCATATTCTCTCCCACTGAGCGCAGTGGATAGTGATGCCGATACTCTCGCGGCATTCGACAGCGTAACGCATCATGATCGCTTTTGATCTATTACCGAACACCCTGCCGTCGTGGATAATTTAGTATCTCGTTAGCTAACCGATCGCAACCGTCGTGTTCCCCAGGACAGTGGGCTAGAAACTGGTGGAGGTATACTCGTTGGCCGTATAAACTCACTGTATAATTACCACCGTTAATTATCCATGCCTCACTTTGGGGTGACGTACAAATACACGAGTACAACACAATTCCCATTGAATATCGGACAGTGGTAAGCATCAGTGGAGGAGAGAAGTGTCAGCGCATGGGAGAGAGTACGATTAACGTCAAATTGATGGAGAAAACGCGCTGTTGATGTGGATATAATAATGGATTTTCCAAGTGTTGGAGAGAATTCGAACAGTTGGGGCAACAGTATTGTTCGTGAATGTACAGAAAATTCGATTGAGAATTTCCTCTTTAAAAAATTGGTGAAACGTCTTCTGTCACTGATTTATTCTGCCAAGTTATGTTATGTTTACATTAAAAAAATATTGTATTTTATACTATATATAGTAGTGTGTATAATATCTTATTATTTTAAGATAAATTGAAAATTTATAAGTGAGGACAGTTTTTATGTTTCAACGTAGTTTTAAATATTAGTATATTTCGTAACGAGTTCAAAAAAGTGTTTTTTGGCGAGTGGGAGGTTTATATTACGAGCCGAAGGCGAGTGATATAATCCCACGAGCTAAAAAACATTTTTTCACGAGTTACGAACAATATTTTTCATCACAATGTGGCGGAAATTGATCCACTTTTCGTCACAGCGTGATGAAAAATAAATTTGTTGCCCATTCTTCAGTCGTGATTCACGCGAAAACGACTGAATGGATTTCAATGGTATTTTTACTATTACATCGTTTAAAGTCCTCAATCGGCTTTAGGCTATAACCTAAAGCGTAGATATCTGTCCGCTCAATCCCCGCTTGCTATACAGTCAAGCCGGGGCTCAGCGATCGGTTCGAGCGCGTGAGCGGAGGTTCAGCCGCATCCCCGCTTGAATTTCTATACGGGAAGCTATTGCGCTACGGTGCATAGTTTAGAGTGCACCTTAGAAACTTTTAGAAAGTTCTGGAACTTTCTGGAAAATTCTAGAATATTCTCGAGTTTTCGAGAATATTTTTGAGATTTCAACAAAGTTTGAGGATATTCTCGGATTTTATAGAAAATTCGAGTAAATTCTTTGATTTCACAGAGAATGCGAAAAAATTCTTGAATTTTCTAGAAAATTCGAAAGAACTCTCGGGTTTACTAAAAAAAAATTCTTGTTCGAATGAATCTATTTAATTTCAAAATAGCTGTGTGGCCCGGCTTCGCCCAGGCAGAATAAGAGAAAAATGAATACCAGGATTTTTGCGCATGTCTGCAATTAAAAAAAAACACCTTAATGTTTTCAACTTTTTTGGAACACCCGAGAAGTCAAAAAAATTGGACGGTTTTCCAAAAAAAATGAGAAAATGCTCGGATGTCCTAGAAACGTCGAAAACATTGAGGTTTTTTTTCAATTGCAGTAATTCTCAAAAATCCTGGTATTCAATTTTCTCTTATTCTGTCCGGGTCAGAGTTCTGCCCGGGTTTAGCCTGGCCACACAGCTAGTGATAGGATAAATTCTGGGATGTGGGATGAGTTTAAACGATACTATTTTACTGTCAAATCGCAGACGGCTGTGATGACTGACATGTGTTGCCCCAAATCCTTGTATTGTGGTTGGGATTTTCGCCATTTTTGCAATTTTGAATTATATACTATGGGTCTTAATTTTTTAAATATTTTACTTTCGCCTCATTCTAGGTAACATTGATTCAACTCTGGGATTATATTTTTTTTCCTGCCTGTGATACATTTTCGGTACTTCGGGTAAAACAATCCCTCAAACTTTCAAATTTAGATTTTCTCTGAATTGACGATTTTGTTACCTAGAGCTGGTGCAACCAGGCTAGTAATACAGTACGGTATGTTAAAAATATCCAGCCTATAAATTTTTTTCCAATCTGATCCTGTAACTATTTTCTGCTCTGCTGCGTAATTATTCTGTTATTGTTATTTTTCGTGCAGCAAATGGAGGAAATGGTATTTACATGTCAATGGTCGATAGACCAGACATGTTTGAATTAAAATTATTCAGTTTCCACTGCATTCTAAAAAATTACAAGTCGGTTCTCTGAATGAAGACCCTTTTGAATCAATTCTGGGGCTCTATAAACATATAAACAAATAACATGAACAAATGCTGTCGTAATCATCAAATGGAATACTTGAACGGATTTATTTACCATTCATCACCTAACGAATAAAACAACTTTTACTTTTTTCAGTTGACAAATTTTTTGAAAGGCCCGGATGAATAAATAAGAATTGAATGGGTGCAATCTTTTTACGAATGTCAGAAATTAATTGATATTTACAAACGAGGTCTATCAGCAAACGAATATTCCTGATGGTTTTCATGTTTCTTCTCATATAAACAAACAGCAGGAACCAACGCCGTCGTAATCTTCAAATGGAATGACCGAGTAGATTTATTTACCATTCATCACCTAACGAATAAAACAACTTTTACTTTTTTCAGTTGACAAATTTTTTAAAAGGCCCGGATGAATAAATAAGAATTGAATGGGTGCAATCTTTTTACGAATGTCAGAAATTAATTGATATTTACAAACGAGGTCGACTAGCAAACGAATATTCCTGATGGGTTTCATGTTTCTTCTCATATAAACAAACAATATGAACCAACGCCGTCGTAATCTTCAAATGGAATGACCGAATAGATTTATTTACCATTCATCACCTAACGAATAAAACAACTTTTACTTTTTTCAGTTGACAAATTTTTTTAAATGTCCGGATGAATGAATAAGAATTGAATGGGTGTAATCTTTTTACGAATGTCAGGAATTAACTGATATTTACAACGAGGTCTATCAGCAAACGAATATTCCTGATGGTTTTCATGTTTCTTCTCATATAAACAAACAATATGAACCAACGCCGTCGTAATTTTCAAATGGAATGACCGAACGGATTTATTTACCATTCATCACCTAACGAATAAAACAAATTTTACTTTTTTCAGTTGACAAATTTTTTTAAATGTCCGGATGAATGGATAAAAATTGAATGGTTGCAATCTTTTTACGAATGTCAGGAATTAATTGATATTTACAACGAGGTCTATCAGCAAACGAATATTCCTGATGGTTTTCATGTTTCTTCTCATATAAACAAACAACAGGAACAAACGCTGTCGTAGTCTTCAAATGGAATGACCGAACGGATTTATTTACCATTCATCACCTAACGAATAAAACAACTTTTACTTTTTTCAGTTGACAAATTTTTTTAAATGTCCGGATGAATGGATAAAAATTGAATGGTTGCAATCTTTTTACGAATGTCAGAAATTAATTGATATTTACAAACGAGGTCGACTAGTAAACAAATATTCCTGCTGGGTTTCATGTTTCTTCTCACCGAGCCATTAGAAATTTCTCGCTGCGTATCGGGTAAATATATAGGCATCGGTCATTCGAGGCTCTCGAATGATCATGAGGATGCCTGCAGTCTATTGCTAGCAACAATATCGAATGTCTCTCGAGTTTCCAATGACCTAAAAAGCATGACCAATGGCCCCTGCAGTTACCGCGATTTCAATGAACAATATCAAATTCATATTCATCAAAATGAAGCAGTGGGCGCGCATATATCATAATTGGGGACAATACGTGCGGTGGTATCGACAAAGTTATTTACCGCAAAATTCCGCATTTTTGCGCAGTTCCACACAGTCGAAAGTTTTTGACTGGAATTTCCGGTACATTTTTTCGACATTTTTATCAAGTGACAGTTTCCCTGAAATTTCAAGGAATTTCGTCGTTGAAATTTCAGTATTTCATGAAACAATCAAGAGTTAGTTCACTGAATTGTTCGGAAACGAAAGGAGATGGGATAATATTTATTATTCGACGGCCTATTATTCGATGGTTTCAGGGACAAATTCATCGACTCATCGTCGCTGGCATGGGTTCTGAGGACAAACAACGTATGGACAAAGCAGAAAAGCTTTTCATCTTCCTTGCAAAAGCTATCAAATTTAGAGGAGAAACTGTTTAGTAATATTCGTCAAAGATTAGCTTATCTACTTATCTACATTATTCGCCAGCTTGCTAATTTCTGTTTCATTATTTTTTTGTCCTTCTATAATTCTCAACAAACATCAAATATTATTTCATTAGAATTCTATCACATATTTTGATTGTAAATTGGCGTTGGCCCTCCTTGTACCAATGCGTAATGCGAAATGGTGCAATAAAATTGAAATTGAAATTGTTCGAGAGCCACCACATTTCCGGGACTGATTTTTTCCATGTCAATTCCCCCAGGCATTGAGCGTTGCTAATGATAATGAATAGGTCTATATGATCTTCTGAATTGAAAAACAAAACATCGCATCCAAAATATCTTCCTCAAACTTCACTGTTAGACAAAAAAATAAAATTTCATAGACAGTCGACTCGTAATTTTCAGGAGAGTGACAACTGAATGCGATTTAGGGGGAAAACTCATGGGATTTCGGATTGCACTGGAAATTCAATGAAATTCCAAAATTTTGAGCAGCATTAAGATGATAATTACTCAACATGTTCGAATTTCCAATGAAAACATAAATATTCAATGTATTATTACACTGAATTTTCAATTAATTTAAAATTCAAGAACATTTCCACCAGAATTTCATTGACTTCTATAAATTTTCAAGGAATAAATAAACTGGTATTTACAATTCCCATTGATTTTTCCATCAAATTATGAATCTTCAATGACGAAATTCCTCGAAATTTCAGTGAAACTAAAATGTGATGAAAATTTTTTTAAAATGTACCGCAAATTTCAACCAAAAATTCTTAAGTGTTCATTTGCTCGACCAAAAAAATGACATTCGCAAACCCAATAGTCGAATATACATTCTACGGACGGAAATTAATGCTGCGCAGTTCGTCTGCATAATTAATTTAGTCCCCAATGCACAGTGTCACCACATTGGCCATCGACGTTATTTCAAACATAGCTGATTACACTACAAAATTGACCGCAAATTTCAATTATTTCATGATAAACCTCCTCACCCTGGGTCTACAACGTGAATACACAGGGTTGGGTTTGGATATACTGGGATGATATGGGATTCGATGAACATGAGGTGGGGCGAGGGGGTGAGAGGAGGCTCGAAGCGGTCAAGCGGCTATCCGGCGGTGGTTCGCGCCACGTACGATCTGCCGTATTAACGCGATTACGAATTGCACATAACATTGAAAAGCGTTGCACACATTCCGCCCAGCCCCTCTCCCTGCCCCCCCCCCTCCCGCTCGCAGGAAAACCCATGGACCAAGTCGGCAACAGTGCTGAACATACTCGTGAAATTTTTCGATAACGCGTGCGGCTATAATGGAGTCGTTCCCCCGCACACTGGGATTAGGCTTTCAGCGCTTGTCATAAATTTCGCGAGGGCGGGTACACTAGCGGGTGAACCACACCGTTTTTGTCATACTTTGTCAGGATTTTTTTTTTGGCTGGCGGGGAATTTTTTACAGGGAATGATGGGGAAGTTTTATGAGGGATGCGGGTGGAAAGAATTATTTTGTGATAATGTTATTTTGGTGGTTATGAGGATCATTATCATTGAGTTAATTGTTTTGTTTTTAGTTTCTCTGTGGTTTTGATTAGTTTGGAAAAAGAGCAACTGTTTTGCCTGGTTAATTCAGTAGTACTTTTTCTTCACGAGTATTAGGTGAAAGGTATAATACTCAAACAAGGTGAAACATTTCGGCATTGAGCAATTTCCGAGAGAGCGAATTTTTGTAAAATTCCTCAGCTTATTTGAATTTTTAACTGCACGGAGAGAAATATTCAATAAAAATGACGCGTCTTTTCCGTAATTCCGGAGCGAAATGTGGTTGTAGGAAATTTTACGGAACTGTCACGGAATTTTTCCAGACCGTTCCGTAATTTTTACTGAACATTTCTCTCCGTGTGATTGAAAATTCAAGAATATATTTACATCAAATTTTCGCATTTTTATGAGGGATACAGGTGGAAAGAATTATTTTGTGATAATGTGATTTTGGGGGTCATGAGCATCAGTTTCATTAAGTTAATTGCTTTATTTTTAGGTCTACTATCGTTTTGATTATTTTGAAAAAAAGAGCAACGGTTTTGTCTGTTTAATTCAGTAGTACTTTTTCTTCACGAGTCTTACGTGAAAGATATAGTACCCAAACAAGGTGAAACATTCCGACATTGAGTATTTCGACAGAGAAAAATTGAAATTTCATGGACATTTCAGGAGTAATTTGCAAGAGAGCAACATTAAATCCGATTTAGGAAAGAAAAATAGAGGAATTCCATTTTTTTTTCAATTCCTCAACTTACTTGAATTTTCAACTGATTGAAAATTCAAGAATATCTTTACATCAAGTTTACGCATTTCCATCAATTTTCAAATAATAGCTGAACTGCAATTTGAAGTTTCTGTTGAGTTATTTATCAAACTGTGAATGTTCATGAAATTTTAGTGGAGCTGTAACGTGATAAAAATTTTCAGGGAGTTTATCAGAAATTTAAGCTTAAAATTTTCAACAATGTAACTTCCTCTTCATGTACATTCGAGCATTAAACAACAGTCTGAACTTGTATCTTATGTATTTTGTTCACGAACTTTAGTGTTCGACTGTACAATGAAATAAATGCGCATCTCAGGGAACTCTAATTAAAAAAGAGGGAATTAGAAGATTAGAGAGGGAATTGTCAAAAATTCGGATAGATTGGATCAAAGTCTTCATACTTGAATCAAAAAATTTTTTGTCATTCCGGCCGTGAGGCAGCGCTTCACGGAGGCTCCGCTCCGCTCCGTGTCCGTGAATCTCTGCCTATGGCCGTCATAACAAAAAATACTGTTCATCATATGGCCAAAAAAAACTTTTCCGGCGAATATGAGTTTGCAGCCCGAGCCGAAGGCGAGGAAAGAAAATAAAAAGAAAGAAGAATAAGAAGAAAATGAAAAGAAAATAAAACAAATTACTGGCAAAACTCGATGAGACTTCATTCCCTTATTTTTGAGAATTTAATATAAATAAATATAGCTTCCTTTGTTGGCTAGCACATTGTCAACAGGGTGAGGGGTAAGGGACAAAATTTCGTTCTTAAAGCCCATGTATAAGCAGAAATTCCAATGATTAATTGAAAACGAATGAAACGATAAAACTACTCTGAGTAGTTTTATCGTTTTTTTTACAATTTTCTTTTTACCATTTTTGATTATTATATTACATATTCAATTCGCTAGTACATTGTCGTTTTGGGGCGAAAATTACTGAGGAGACCCCTTAATCGAATAGCGTTGACGTGAGTATACGCTAGTGAACAAGAATATTGAGTTAGATTAGGTCGGTTGAACGGGATGGTCTCCCTCCCAAGATCGTTCCGTCCTGTCTCTCCGTCAGCGTCATTGGATTTTATGTCAGTGGATGGTGGATGTGGTAGGTAGTCAAGACGAGGGATGAAGACGGGATACAGTGGTCTTGGGTATTTTGGTAAAGAAGCCACTTACCATTCAGCACGTGGACCATTACACTCGCAGAGTTGGCATTACTTGGAATGCAGGTGTAATTTCCGTTGTCGCTCGATCTTGCCTGCGTCACTAGTAGCTTACTCGTTGTTCCGGCCTCTGTTTTCTCAGTTTCCAGGGATACACCGCCCCTGTGGTGAACGCTGGGATTATCAAGCATACTTTTGCAGTGTATTATTGGAAATTGATTAATTCCTTCACCGTCGCAGGATAAAATTGATCAAGAAATTTATGAAGAAGAGAATTTTTATTTTATGTTTCGGTTTTAAAACATCAGTCACTGAGAAAATTTTTCCCATACAAATTTTAGGGAAATAGAATTGCACTGTTCAACTGCTATTTTATATCGTCAACATGGTATTCAACTCGTAATTTTTATAATTCCATTGGTCATTTTTCATGTTGATTATATATGAAGAACAAACGATTTCCTGGTCGAGTGAGCCCCTCGGTGGAACTGATAGATGGATTTTGTCTCATAGTGCAATTCTCTTGGATGAAATTTGGATGGAGAAATTCTCTTCCGAATACCACACGAGCTTCAAAATTAATCAGGCATTTTCCTCAAGGTTTGCTACATACAAACGAACCTATCGAAAAATACCTGATAATTTTGAAGCTCTCGTGGTATTACATACGATAATTTTTCAGTGAACATGGAGAAAATTAATTTTAATTGTCAGGGACATGGCACTGATTTTCAGGTATCCATCCTTAATTTTTAGGCGTCTATGCCCAATTATTAGAAATTTGCGATTGGTAAATTCGAAGACCGAAATTCTGAAATGCAGTGATTTTGTCACGAATTTTTGATGATGTCGTCAGTTATTTTCAGAGATATGTCACTGATTTTTAGGGTTCCACCTCTAATTTTAAGGAATGTAGCATCAAATTTTAGTGATAAAAATCACTGATGAATAGGGTCATCAAAAAATGGTGATAAATTCTTACAAATCAAAGACTGTTTTTCCTTAATTCGTGAAAATCAAAATATGTTCCTAAAAATCAAAATGACAAAAAAAAGTTTTGATTTTCAGAAACACGTCACTAATTATCAGAGACATCATAGCTAACTTTCAGAGTACACTGAGAAAAACAAAATTTTTTAAGAAGTACGCCTCTACTGATATCAAGAAACTCGTGGCTTGAAAATTTTCAAGAGCAAAGGATCTTGCACTAAAAAACAAACTTTCGTCAAGAAATTTTGTACTTGTCCTAAAGACGAGGATAATTTCTTGATGACAAGAATGAGATTTCTCAAAGTAACTAAAATAGCCTCAATTCTAAAATATTCTAATGCAAAAACCACTCGAACTGATTTGAGAACTCGTTTTCTTGATATGAAACAATTGTCCTCATCTTTCGGACTCATCTATAAAATTTCTTGACGTAAGATTTATTTTTCTTAGCCTGAAATATTGTGCGCTCGGTAATTTCCGAGCCCTCAATTTCTCGACCCAAGTAAAGACGTACTTCTCAAAAAACTCTTGTTTTCACTGTGTAATGTCACCTATTTTCGGGTACCCATCTCTACTTTTCAAGAATCTATCACCAAATGTCAGTAATAAAAATCACTGCACGGAGAGAAATATTCAATAAAAATGCCGTATCTTTTCCATAATTCCGGAGCGAAATGTGGTTGTAGGAAATTTTACGGAACTGTCACGGAATTTTTCACAGGGCGTTCCGTAATTTTTATCTGAATCTCATGTGAAAAATTACGATACCGTCACTTAAATTTTCTGAGTCGATTCCGTAATCGATAAGCGAATTGTGAGTTCCGTAATTTTTACTCAACATTTCTCTCCGTATGATAATCAATAATTGCTGAATCTCCTGAAAAACCGTGACATACGTCAGGAAATCAGTGACATATTCCAAAAAATCCATGACCTTTCCCTGAACACGAAAACTTTTTTCCTCTGTGAATGGTTAGATTACTCGATTGAAATACCGTTGAAATCTCAAAGACTAATGAACTGAATGAGCATACCTGGGACTATCAAAATCGACGACAGATGCCCCATGATGCCACGTGACACTGCTCGGTGGTGTGCTCTGCACATTAACTGTGCACGTGAGGCTTATGGTACTACCCTTCTTAACGTAAACGTCCTCAGGACCCACGATTTTCGCTTGTGCCGCTGCAACACACAAGATCAGCGGAAAATATCCGCCTCAACTTTAGCCTCTGGTAGATCCTTAAATCCCACTTTGCGGGGACGTTTAAAATTGATGGAGGATTAAAGGAGCGTCAATTTTCCCGGTTGGTGAGGATTTTCAGGATTCTCAAGGAATCGAGGAGCGGTCGCTGGGTGGTGATGAAGGAGGGAAATGCAAGAGTTCTTCAACTACGACATAACCAGGTTTCCAACATTTATGGCTTCAAACATCCCTGAGACCATTTTTTATTTTATCACAACGTACGAAGAAAGAACGTGAAAGATAAAATGAAAGGAGATTGAAAAAGTAGATGTGAGAATAGAATGAAAAGAACATGAGAACTAGTAGAAATGATGAAAAAAGCGCAATCATGCTCTTCAAGTATTTTCCGAGGTATCACACAACCGTGTCGTACATAAAATTTACGACGAGTAATCGATCCCAGGAGGGGGTGGTGGGGGACTGTGAGAGGTAGCCAGTGACGTCGGTTTGTGCAGTGTGGTCCTCCTTCTTTCGTTCACCGGAAGTTATCGATCTTCCGGATGACCGCGGAGAACGATTTATCGTTTCCAGTCCCTCATACCCCGGATCCCCCTAAAAAAAACGAGAGGTGGGAGATGGAGAGGAAAGTGAGATGGTGGTAGATGGCGAATGTCACCCCGTGGATTCACCCTGTCGAGTCGTATCGCTCATGCAGTCTCAAACCCCGAGAACTACGTCGACGTGCACAGTCGAGATATCCACGTTTTTAGTACACCCCAGACGATTTGAGAGTTAAGAGACATTCCGTTGAAAATTTACACAGAGTGAACTACGAAAAAAAAAAGTGAATAAAAGGATCTACGAGCTTGAAAATTCTTCATTTATTTGGAAAATGAAGTTGAGGAGATGATCAAATGAAATGTCATTCACTTCTAACCTGATTTGTACTTGCGTCGTACCGCGTCCGTCTTGGCGTCGAGGACACGGTCTCTACCTGGTGGTGGAGTGACAGAGAACAGATAAAAGAGAAAAAAATGATAGTGAACTAGTTAAAAAGTCGTTGGACTGGAGCGAGCGGGAATTTCGGGGAGGAGGGGGTGATCCGGTGGGAACGGTTCAGGTGATATTGCAGATTTGAGACTGATCGGGTTTAGAATAGTGAAGGCTCATCCGAACCTCGTTTGTAATGAGAGGAAAGGATTTACTGGGGGGGAGAGATTTTTTAATTCTGAATATTGTTTTATATTGATTCTTGGCGATTCAATCGGAGTTGTTTTTCAAATTCTATAGGGGAGGGCGGGGTAAAACGGACACTTCTGACATTTTTTCTAATGTTCGTAACTCAGGAAGGACTTCGTTAGTAAAAGTCAATCTCGGCTCATTACAGAGGGAAACAATTGTCCTCTCCATGGAAAAAATATCCCTTTTCGTTGGAAATTGAATGAGGTATTGACATTTAAAAAAACTCAGAAGTGTAATTTTGCCCGATTACCTCTATTACCCGAACGCTATTTTCTCGGTCAACGTTAGATGTTATTGAGGTATAAATTAGATAGAAAGCTGTAGGCTACGTACCATCCATCGACTTTCCGGACCTCGATATGAGGGAAGTAATTGAATAATTAATAACATTTAAACTTGACCGAGAAAAGAGCATTTGGGTAACATAAAATGTTAATGTGTCGGTCGGTAAAATTATTTAATGGGGTTGTTCTTCGGTTCCCAGTTTTCAATTATACTTAATAATGGGGCCATGCAAAGGTTAAAAATGATCCAAAAAGTCACAGAAAATTTTACTGCACGAAGAGTAATCGTGGAAAAGTGCACTGCTAAAAAAATCGAAATTTCATCGAGAGGCTGGAAAAAATCATGAAATTCCATCCTTCAGGGAAAAACGAATAGAATTATACATTTTCAAGCCGAGTGCAGACGGGAGTTCACCGACTTACTTGAATTTTCAATAAAAACTGGAATATTTAGTATTAAAACACGCTCAATTTCTAATTAATTGAGCATTTCAGAACCCAGTTACCTGAATTTTCATGATTTCTATCAATTTTTATGGAATAATGGAACCAAAATTCACAGTTTTCAGTGATTTTTCTATCCAGTTATCAATTTTTAATTATGAAATTAATTAATTTATTAATTCAAATTTAAAATTTACTTTTTTTTTCACGTAAAAACAATGACTCCAGTACACTGTTAGAAATTTCTTGAAATTTCAGTCACAGTGCTAGCTGAATTTTCGATGTTGAATTCAATTTCAAATGAAAGCGTTCACTAAATTCATCATGAAAATTTTAGAAAATTGGATTTTTCATGTTAAACAATCATTGATTTTTCAATAAAAGCTTGAATTTCCAAAGTCATCGTGAAAATTGAACATCACATACAATTCAATTTTAAATAGATTGAGAATTCAGAAAAGTTATTGCCTGAATTTTCTAAATTTTCAAGGTTTTTCAGTGCCGTATGGACCTGAAAATCAAGAATTACTTGACTATTCAAAAAATTAACTGATTCGTCAATGAAGAAATATACAGAAAATTCATGTAACTTTGTCGTTGTTAAAAATTTCAAGCTTTTTCACTTGAAATTTCAAGAGTAATTTTCTAACAGTGTCAAAAATTACTTCTCTCCATTCAGTAAAATCTTCCACACAAAATTTCTTATTTTCCCCAATTTCCGCTGACTAATACAGAAACTTCCATTTCCAGCAGAATAAATAATCTTCTCCTTCAAACTGATTGTGAGAGAAAAATTATTCCTTCCGAACTGGGAACAAAAATTCACTCCGGTTTCAAAAACCTGATCAGTCCCTGTACCCGTACATCTGGACCACCCCCACTCCACCGTCCCTTCCACTCATAATCAGCGAATCTAAGAATATCCCCATGGCGAGGTTTAAAATTCATCATAAACACTGAAAAGCAACATCAAATACTGAAGACAACCTCGAAGTCGAAAAATAGATAGTCAATCAGTTCTAAATACAAAAAACCCTCAAACCCCCTCCGGCCGACCCGACGTATCGTCCCACTGTCTCGTTCCATGCTTGCATTGCAGATTACCCGCCAACTCTCGAGACGACTCGCGCTAGATTTCACGCGCAAATATTGATAGTCTTCTCTCTTGGTCGAGACAATGTCGGCGATAGGCGAAAGGGGGTTGGGATTGAAGTGCAGTGACTGAAGAAAGGGCGGTGGAGGTGAGGGGGATGAATGGTGTGAGGGAGTTTGCCTTCTTGGTTGTTCGAGGCGTGTCGGATAAGATATAGCTAGTAAGACAGGGGAAAGTGAGGCTGAGGCGCGTCGCAGTTGAATTAATCAGTGTGCCGAAGGCATATCCCCACTCCTCCACCCCCCCCCTGCCCCTCATTCCATTCAAGTTTCAGTTCTCCGCCTCGTTCACATCGGATCACTACAGCGATACCCGATTGCCCTACATTGTCGTAGTGAGTTTAAAAGGGGAGGATGAGGTGGAAATGGGTGAGACGGTAGGATAAATTGAATGTGTCTGATCGACACTGTGTATCCTCAACTTGAATTAAAATTTTTATTACCTTCGACCCTCAGTTTAAAGGCCAATTTCATTTTGGGCTCTGTATTGACCTGGCACTCGTACAATCCAGCATCTCTCGGTTGTACAAAATTTATCGTTAATCGCCACTCATCACTACCCTCCGGATGTTTAACTGAGAATCTCGCGTCACTGGTGTATGTGATTGTCGACGATGTGAGTATGTGCATATCATGCATTCTCATCCAGGATATCTGTAACAAAAGCCAATGGAATGATCATTCAGTGAAGTTGTAAATTTCTGGAGAGCGACGTTGGAATTTATTTAGAGGGGAAAAATCATGACATTTAAAATTTCACTGGTAATTTCTTTAATTTTGTCTTCGACGAGAATTCTTCAATATGTACTAGAAAAAGTGGGGCCTGAAATTGAGATACTGTTCCGTTTCAAAGAGGAATATTCAGCTTTATTTCACTGAAATTCATGAAATCGAGTGAAACCATACTATTCAAATCGCAATATTCCAATCAATTGAACCACATTGCATTATCTTGACTCATCCAACTACTAATAATCTGAAAAATACTCAGATCAAACTAATTTTGTGCTGTGAAACACTCAAGTGAATTTATATGGTGTTAAGCATGTTACTCTTCCAATTAATCAGAATCAATCTTAAAATCAAATTATATCTATTGATAAATAATGTAACCAAAATAATTAAAACTATGTTACAAATTTTAACCAGCTTTAATATTTATATCGACTTTCAATATCCGCCAATGACATTCGACGGGCTTGGAAAAATACGTTCACCAAAGATTTAATTCTTCCCTCAAGAAAATAGTTCCCTGGCAAAGGTAATTTTTTTCGCTGTGTATGTTGTAGATCCAGGACCAATTTCTAACATCCAATACTCATATTCAATCTTAACCATTCTATCCAAATGGTGATATCCAAATCAGTTGAACCAAATTGAATTATATTCACTCATCCACCCACTACACAGCTAAAAATTTTGTTTGAATTTTCGGTGCTAAATTCCGGAAATTTTTATCGTGTTCAAGTTCCACTGAAATTTCAGGAAATTTTGTCATTAATTCATTTGTCAAATATTCCATTGATTTTCTGTTCAAATGATCTGGAAATCAATAAAATACTTGCCTTTTCAGTTCAATTATTCTGTGAAAATTCAGAAAAATCCGGAAAATTCAGGGAAAATTTAAAAATTCATGTCATTTTGTTTCTGAATATTCATGTTCCACTGACAATTCAATCAAATTGTGAAATTTCCATCTCACGTCCACTGAAAACTCGTGAATTTCCGTGAATTGTATTTAAAACTTGAAATTTCATAATCATTTTTTCCCTACATTCGATTCAATGTCACTCTCATGAGATTTATAATTTCTTCCATGAAATTTCAACAAATTTCCAACAGTGTAATAATCCAGAAAATATTCAAGTCAACCTAATTTTGTGCTGTGAAATACTCAAGTGAATGTATATCGTGTTAATTATGTTACTCTTGCAATTAATCAGAATCAAAACAATTAAAACTATGTTACAAATTTGTTGTACACCCAGAATCGATCAAAATACTCGTTGTTAATCAATTCGAAATTAAACCCCAGTATTTTGATCATTTTTGCATTTTTTCCCCAATTGATTTTTTCTCTCCTAATTTTTTACTCCGTTCGAGTGAAAAGAACGGGTGTATATTGCACCGTTGGGCATTTTATGGGCAGACGTTGAGGGTTGTCTCACTGGCACCCCTCGACAATTATGGGAGTACGTGCTCGCTTCCACCGATGCCCTCACAGGTACCGTTCTACGGTATACAGCAAACTATTCCCGTACCCTCGTCCAATACGAACGAAGCACATAGGTCATATCCCCACTGGCATTCGTAGGTGTTTCTCCCACACCTGGTAGACTATGGAGACTCGTTAATTACCCCCATGACACTAGCGAAGTCACGTCGTTTACCTCGAGCGTTTCTCCCCACCCTTCCCATCGCAACTCAGCCAAAATCGTTCTCAAGTGTTGCAAAATGACTAGAAGAAGTGAAACATAACAAACTGTTCTCCCAAGAATGTTTTCCCTCCCTTCTATTTTTCGCTCCATAAAAAAAGTTAACTAATTGTTCGGTAAAGTTGGGTCTGCGAAAGAGAAAAAACAATACCACTACCGCATGACAAATTTCACTTAATTGTTTTTTGATGAATATACTGAAGAGGAAAAAGTGCTCTCATGCGTTGAAATACTACAGAAGGGAAAAAAATGAGAAATCCCATGAAAAATAAACTAAGAGTGACGATGAAATTTGATAGAGCAGCAAGTTGAGCCCAAGGGTTTTCTGCGGTTTTCTCTATTAAAATGTAAATTTTGAAAATACGTTTTCCGTGTCTCTTAATATCCGGGGCTGCTCGTCATCATCAGCAGATCCACTGGGTCCGAGCACTCGCGTATAAAAAGAGAGAAGAAGGATCATATCTGTATTATTCACATTACCCTCGCTTCTCACCCACTCGGGTCGCTGTTTCCTCTCACGCTGAAACACAGTCGTATACATGGGCATGAGTAATACGATCGCACGAATGGAATTAAATATCTCGTTCCACTTTTGCGCTAGTGTCACCATTTTACATGGCGAAATAGAGCTTTTGTAAAGCTTGAGAGAGTGCACGGGCTTGCAGATTTGTTCGTAACTCACTCGAGTAAAAATCTCACTTTACCAACTTCTCGCTGAATCCTCAACTCGAGATTGAGTCTTCTGCTTCATTGTCTGACCATACACCGACTGCATTCACTTGTCCTCTTTCTGCTGGTTCATTCTCTCATTTTTCAGGCTCATCCTCACGCCGGAAAGCCGAGAGTTTGCACGGTTTAATGAGAAACAAGATGAAAATAAACATCTTAAGGATATCCGAGTGGAACAGGCGCTGCGATGAAATGAGTTTTCAAAAGATTGCATTTTTCTTTATTCTTTCATTATGAAGGAGAAATTTAAGTTGACTGGGATTTTGTTGAATTGAGAATGTAAGACAAGTGGAATTCATCCGGTTGATGAATATTAATTCTCAATCGGTGGAATGACAAAATGTTAAACACTTGCAGAGGATTTTTTCTTGTTTTATTCATGTAAGAGAACGTCAAATCTATATTGTTGGGAAAAATGGAAATTTCACGGAAAATTTAGAAGAAATTTTCGGGAGAAAGATGTTGGATTCAATTTGAGGCGGAAAAAATCGGGAAATTTCCAATTTCACTGATAATTGGGAGGAATTTTCAATTTTTGAGCCCGAGGAAGACAATAATTCCCCAATTTACACTGTTAAACATGAAAAATCCCGGAAATTTTTGTCGTGTTTAATTTCCACTGAAACTTCAGGGAAGCGTGTTGTTGAGAAATCAAATATTCCATTGATTTTCTGTTCGAATGATCTCAAAAGCCATAAAATACTTGATTTTTCAGGTCAATTATTCCTTGAAAATTTAGAAAGATCAGAAAAATTCAGGGGGAAATTGAGAATTCAATCAAGTTGTGAAATTTCCATCTCACTCCCACTGAAACTTAATGAATTTCCTTGAATTCTACCTAAAATTTGAAATTTCATAAAATTTCGAACAGCGTACTTGAGTTTTTTAAATAAAAATACGAATATTCAGTACCAAATCCAATTCATCGCCAATTCATGGATTTATTTACCTCTATTTTTTCCATTTGTATTCATTTTTACGGAATAACTAAACTGAAATTCACAAATGCCTTTCATCTTTTCATCAGATTGTGAATTTTAAAGTAAAAAATCACTTGAAATGTCAGTAAAACAGAGACGGGATACAAATTTCCACAACAAACTTCAACAGTGCATCTCAAATATGGAAATTGAGGCCAAGTCAATCTGAGGAATGAATTATTAAGTAAAAAAGGAATATTCAAGGAAAGTATGCTAAACTTCTAAAATTAGAAACAGTATTGGAAAACCCATGTGAAGTAAGAAAGCTAGAAATCTGAACGTGAGGTATTTTCCATTCAAATCGAAGCTATCCCGAAAATAACTGACAGATTGGGCTCAATCGATGAAATCATTGTGGAAAAATAAAAAAATATCTATGCACTTCTCCCCATTCTGATTCAAGGGAACAGGTAAAAAATGTTGCTATCGAGAACGAATTTCCCTGCTTCAACGAACAAAAAATTCCCTAAGAAAGACCAACTGCATTTGCATTAGAATAAGTGTTTCAAAAGAAAAAAAAATGTCGCATAATCTTGTATTCCTCGGAATCGATGGAGCTTTGCCCGGGCAAGCGTGAATGTAAAGCGACTGCAGTTTACCGTGAATAAACCATCTCCATCTCAATTTGCCGAGTGGCGTAAGCGATGAAATGGTTTTGGATATTCCGGGGACTGAATGCCAGAGCTCGGCAGAAGGGAGGAAGAAAAAGACGATACCGAGATGGAATAAGACTTGCCATTTTCTGCTCAGGTCAACTCGAAAAGGGACCGAGAGTGTTCTGCATTTACTGAAGATTTTACCTCAACCAGAAGCAATTGTGAAATCGTCATCGTCGATGACTGCCCATTACCGTGATTTTCCCTCACACAGAGGAGTAGAATCTCTTGGAAGCAGAATATTATTTTCGATTCAGTACTGAAGTCGTAAAACGGAATAAGTCAATTCCGCTCAGAGCTCAGGTCACTGAATATTTCGGAATCGGAGGCAGATGACACAATTTTTATTGATTATCAAAAAATATTTGACGTGTTGTGCTTTCATCAATTGAGTAGATATTATATTGTTTCATAGATTTATTTTCAGGGTTCATTGTAATTTAGAACAATCAACATCTTGATTACTTAATTACGCTTAATGAAGCTGAAATTTCAGAACTTTTGCAAATTGATGAAAAAATCATAAGAAACTGTAAGTTTTCCTGCAATTGTCCTGTGATAATGAATGGATATCCGGAATATTCAAATAAATATTTTTTAAAATTTGTATTCAATTGAAAATTCAGCGTAATTTGGTACTGAATATTCAACATTGATTGAAAATTCACGTGAGTTGAGAAGTTTTCGTCACTTTACTGCTCAAAAATTTGTAAATTCGTTGAATTTTCGGTGACTGAATGTTGATCTCCTGAAAATTCCTACTGAATGACGCATGAAATTCAATCTTTCTTTTCACCAGTGTAATTATACCAAAAAATTTCTTAAAAAGTCACAAAAAATCCGATCATTTTAGT